ATCTATGCATTCTGATTGGCCAATTAGTGTTTTCGAAAATTTTCATGTGATGTATGAAAATCAGGGGTTTTTCTATAATTTTGAAAACTGCGATAATACGATTTTAATTAATTTACATCACACAGAATAAATACACATCACTCTATTTGGAAACGCAATGCCTGATTAACCTCGATATTTGTTAAAAACCTTAACCCTTTATAGACATAAAGCCGGTCTGTTGGATGTCCGGTAATTTAATTACTCGGAATTCGGTTTATTTATTAGCTCACTTTCGTTTTTGGGTAACTTGAACGCAAGCTTACTAAGCTCTCAAGTCAATTAGTCGACGTTGTAAATTTAAAATTAATTTGCTTACAGAAACATATTCAATGACAGAAACCGCCGGATTGTAGAAGACATTAAAAGCGAGATCAGAGTCTGGAGATGTTTAACAACACAATCTCATACTTGTGGGCATATCAACTATAAACATTGTACCATTTTTATACCCAATCTCGTATTCAATCGATGGAAGTGTTGAAATCTTGTACGGATATACAGTATCCGTGGCAAGTGGCTAAGGAAAACTACAATCACGCAAGTCAATACGAGACATATCTAAAAAAAAAAGAAAAAACTAGCGTGACGTACTTATATGTTTTGGCTTAAATGGCTTAAACAAATCTTTTTGATGGAGATATTCTCACCAAAGTTTAAATTGTTCAAGTTTCTACTATCAATAAAACATGATAAAATACACCGTGTCTGGATTATAGCCAATATTATTTACGTTAATTATCAATATCCGATGACATCAATTAACGCTAACGTATACCAATATTGCGTACTAAGTAATAATTAGTCTAAGATGTTCCTACTAATAAATTAGAAAGCAGCATAAATTTTAGTTTAATGTCGGCATCGCGTTTACTTCGACTTTTTATTATTTTTAAATTAGAATAAAAAACTGTGCTGACGTATTATAGACAAGTGACCTTTTATACTCGAAGTAGAATTAGAAGTTTTATCTGTGTTCACCTAAACCTGGAACATTCAACGCCATAATGCTATGTAGCTAAGCTTTTTTTTAGAAATCGTTATTAAAGAAGTTTATTAATTGTGGCTTACAGTAGCAATATATACTAATACTGTATATTTAACAAGAGATTAATAATGGTGCCACAGTCTTTGTGTCTGTTGTCACGTGGAAAATATGGTGACGCTCTAGTTATATACGAAAGCAAAATTTTTCAGTAAGTGTAGGCAATATAAATATAATGGTTATTTTATATAACAATATGCTGCAGATAACATTGACCGTTTTGTACTGGTATAACTTTATGGTTCTCCATATTTACTTGACCGTTCAAATCATCCGATTTTAGTCTCAAGAGCGTAATTCATATTTTCTCAAATATTCAAATAGTATGTCGGAACCCTGTAACTCAATTATATTGACTGAATGAAAACATTTCGTATTTAATTAAAAAAGAGAAATCAAGATTGTATAGACTTAAAAACACTCCGTCTATTCGACGAGTTTTGAACTAAAACTATTTCATTGGTTTAGATAACCCTCCTGTAGATAAGCGTTTATTAAAAAATGCCAGAACTAATCAACTTCTCAATATAAATACCAAGATTCTGTACATCCGGACGCCTAGCAAGATCAGCATGACAACAGCACCCGGCAAGTTGTTTGTATCCCTCTGGTGCACTATCGGGCATTGTTGGTCGTAGTCCGTTCATTATATCATGCATCAAGTCTTTATCAAATTGTCTTCCATTAAACGATGGTTTACCGGTAGCCATCAAATACATAAGAATACCGAAAGAATATATGTCTGATTGCTGAGTAAATTTGCAACTATAAAAAACTTCTGGTGCGATAAAGGGTGAAACGCCTCGAATGGTGAAATTTGACTGTGAATCCACTGATTCAGAAAGACCAATATTGCATATATATAAGCGACAACCATCCAAAACTATATTTCCGCCATGAAGATTACCGTGCACTAATTTGGCAGAATGGATATTCCTAAGATCATCTACAATGTCGCGCAAATAATATAATTTCTCAATTCACGTCAAGTCGTTAATGTTTCGATTCAAATAAGATAAAAGATTATCATTGCTAGCATATCGCATAACAATCATGTGCTCTTTTGTTTCTGGGTTTTGTGTGATCCCATGAATTGGAAAAAATGTGGGACACCAGTTGGCATGATTTTTGAACTATTAATAAACATATACAACATTAGACTGAAATAATTTTTCATTAGTAATATTAAAAATTGCTTACCTCGTTAATAAATAATTCCATAGCTTGATCATAACTCTTAAAACGTTTGAGTACGACGGTTTGTCGCATATTCCCTACTTCTGAATATCTTCTACATTAAGCAGCATAGACTGTTCTGTAATCACTAGATCCGATCTCTTTGAATGCATAAAAGTCGGGAAATGGCATATATCTCATAAAGTGAGAACGTTGCATAATTTTGTCCAATATTAAACGTATTAGTGTTTCATGGTAAAAAACCAAATAATATGCTTGAGTTGATATCTCTTGAGTAATTCCAACAATGCAAAAATTCTCGGGGGTTAATATCTCTGGGTTTACTTCTCTTCCAATTGGATATATTAAAAGTGTCAACGTTTACTGTTAGTCACATCTTTTCAAGGGTAGACTATTTGAGTATATAATATAGTAGTAATTATTTAAAATTTATAATACTGAATAAAAATACGTAACTACGTTCTAGTCAGTTTAAACTTCATTGTCAATTTCAGTTGGTTTCGCGTTTCCTAACGTTGTTTTTTATACCTCTCCCAAAAACGATTCATGCAGTCGTAAAATTATCTCGCTCAACTCTTTATCGTGATTGCTTTTATTTGACACTGAATAATAATATTTAAAACGCAATAGCTGCTTTGTGACTAGAATGCAAGAATCCCATAGATAAAGGTTATCCCAAGCTTTCTTGAAATCTTCCGATTGAATAAAATGTCTGGCACTTTTTGTAAGAACCAAAACCTTGGATGTATCAATCCGTCGAAGAACTACCACCACTCTTTTAATGATATTGTAGTCCCTAACGATGCAAATTTAACAACGCAAATGAAACTTGCCGGACGCAAGTATACCAACTATGTATGTCAAGATCGCAAAATAACATTGATTTGCTCGGGCTATTTGTTTGTTCGTGCCGTAAACAAATATGTATTTATATCAACATTTTACACAAGAAAATGATTATTAACTGTCAAGAAATTTTAATTTTCGTATGCATACAAAGTACGTAAAATTTAATGGCTAAACGTACTTTCGATTGTTTTATGGGAAAAAAAATAAAATTTCGTAGTTGAGTAGCCTGGTCAATAAACTTAGTACTAATTATCGCTACATTCGTGTAGCTTAGATAATTGACATTGGTAAGAGAATTTCGAGAAACAGAAATATTTGAAATCGTATAGTAGGCTACATTTTTAAAATTGAGGCTGTAGCAACCCGTTGTTTATCAACATTCTTTTCCTTAATCAAACGTTGCATATCGCTTTTTTTTACATCACTTATCCGGCAGACTTGTCATCATTTTCGAAGAGAAAGATTGACACCTGAAGAGAGGAAGTAAAGAGAGAACGATTTGCTAACAAAAGTATGACGAAATAGTAAATTTGTTTAAACTCTACCAGAAATGTTAATTGAAAAGTTAGTGCAAGTATTGACTACTATAAGAAACAGAAAGCCTATGTATTAGTTTTCTGCTCTTATATGTGTTGTTCTGATTATTGGCTTTTGTACAGTATTAGTTCATTTAATTTTTTTGCGTTTGCTATTTTCCATTGTCGAAGATCCATCCAGTCACACGTCCAATACATTTTAGACTAATACATATCAGGTTAACTTTTGCGCGTAAACATTTAGCCGATGGCTTTTGGACAAATATGCTGGCGGGTAAGATCAAAGCGCGCACGCGAAAATGAAGAGCCTTTTTGTGTTGAAGGTCACACAACTAACGGTTATGTTAATTGATTCCGTAACGTCATTAGGCTTGCTTATAGAATACAAAGAAGCGAACAAATTTATTGTGACTATACGAACGAAGCGAAAAGAGGTTATCAAGAAACACGTGATTTTTGACAAGGGAATATTCACTGACCAAATTTATACAATTGCCATACTGCCAGTCAGGTAAAAATTAAATTATTAACGATGTGACTTTATTTAGTTAATTTTTTGATTTACAGTAAAGGAAAAATTCATCTAATTTGCTGATATATTATATACAAAATGTTACAGACATGTAATTATAATCACACGAGGGCGGCTGCCTCACCCCCCAAATATTATCTCTATTAATACAACTACTCTACACAAATATGGCTCGAACTTTCGCTAGAACCTCTACGACGGCTACCACGACATTGTGCAAACAGTATAAAAGCGTGTTTGATTCTACGAGTTTTGCTAATTCTTTTGCTTCTCCACTTCTTATTTCACCAAGGGTAGCATATAGCGAATTGAAAGGGTCATCCGATTCTAGAGTATTTGTCAAAACAGTATACAAATACCAGAGGCACGGATTTGATTCTAGAACTTGTATCTTAATCTGCTCGAATTTCCGACATACCAAGTCATACTTCGGTTTGAGAATTTTTTCGAATAGCATCGTTCTTGTGCGTCTGATCCAACCCCGGTTTAAACACGACGGATCATCACTCGATGAAGAAACATTTCCAGGGACCTTCGTTTGATCGAGTTCAGGTTTATCAAAGGAAACTGACGTGTGATCTGATGTGTTGCCTGATAAGTTCTGAGATTCATTTTTCAGCATCGATTCTAATCGTTCGTATACTTGTTCCACAGTTGGCCGTCCTGACGGGTCATCAGCCCAACATTCTGAATATAGCTCAAAATAAGCATCAGGTGTTCCATCTGCGCGACGATCACGATATCCGTCCAATCTTTTGACAATAACATGGCAACTGTTGGTACATCCTTCACAAGGTTCCTTTTGGCTCGAAATTTCCCATAACACAACCCCAAGACTAAATATGTCGGATTCTTTTCCAAATCTGTACTTTTGACGTTTAAACGATTGGGGATCTTTGTATGGGGCGGCACCAGTTCCTATCGAGGAAGATCCGATGTGCCTTGAAAGACCGAAGTCGGTGATTTTTACGATGCCGTCCTTGATAAGAATGTTGGAAGATGTCTGTAATAATAAATACATAAATTTAATAGAAATGGTATCGTGAACTTATGATCGCACCTAATGTAATTGACACATACCAGATCCTTGTGGATAATATTGCGGCTATGCATGTGCATCAAACCGTTGGTGACTGACAAGGCCAGCTTGTACTTGTCATACCACGTTAGCCGATTAGAATGTTCTTCTAAGTACTTGTGCAAGGGCCCACCATCAGCATATGCAAAAACCATACAATAGTCGTCGTCTTCATCATCTTCCTTATCTTTACAGTTAGAGATACATAAGTCGTGAACAGAACAAAATTATATGATAATGACGATGCAGATAGCTTACATAAACCCAGGAATTGGATAATATTGAGATGACCGTTTAATTCCTTGTGGTTTTTGACCTAATGATAATTGTCGTAAATAGTGATTAACAGTTACAAGTGGGACGTTAAAGAAAGTCAAAAACCAACCTCTTTCGCGAGCATTTTGTTTACAGTGGTCTGACACACGTACGGACCGCGACACAGCTTTTTTATCGCGACGGGCTCTCCGGAGGCCTCTATTATCCCTTTGAATATTACACCCCATCCACCAGCTGCTATTATTGCCATGCGACGCTTGACAATTTCGCTTTTCGAGTAACACTTGAGAACACCTTCTTTGATACTCTTTTCTATCTGCTTTCGGTGTTCGTCGGGTCGTCTAACTTGCTCGGTAGTGTTTGTCATTGGAGTGAAAGTTCGTTCACTGGCTTGCAATTGTGATCCAGTTGCATGTGAATTCTAGCCGAAAGGTGGTATGAACCGACCGTGAAGCTTAATTTAAGTAGGCAAATGTTTGCTTGTTCCTTTCATTGCCTTCTCTATTATGGTAGCTGCGGCATGTCGAAATTGGATTATTGTCGCGGCGTTCAGCTGCCGGTAAAAAGAAATCCGATGCTAGAAATAGAAGTGCTTAAATTAGGGGAGCTTGCATCAACAGAAATATCTAAAATTGGAAACCGTTTATTGTTCAGTGCATCAACCTGTTTCAGCCCCGCAATTTTCATCTGGGGAGAAAGAAACGCATGTGATTCACATGAACATTCTTAATAGAGTCGCACATGGCTTCAGCGTTGGATAATATTGGCCAATAAGAAACAAGACAACTGCAAAGTAACAGACTGACTAGTTGTTGGATTCACAGGAGTTTTCAGCCGCTACTTTTTTTTTCGATGTTCTTGGCTGCATAGTCGCTCGTTGTTATGCTTATGGCATGCATTGCCTAATTACGCCCGTCGTGCGGTGATCTGAAAGGGTAAATAAATGGTCATTGAGTTATGGATATATATACCTGCCTGAGCTATGAGACAATAACTGTTTCATTACGATTGCTGCAAAGTTGATATAAATATTATGATAATCGATTAGTTTTTGCATCTGCAGTGAATTATATCGTAATCAGCTTACGAAAATTTCTGTTACTATGGTCATATAAGTGCTGTAAACGTGTCTTTGTCTAATATTGTAACACACCGGATGCTATGTTCTGTAATTGAACATGAAGTATAGAGCTGTATGTGCATGTTGATAATGACGTCACCATGACCAATACCATAAAGTTGGTTCAACTCCACCATTCATTTACAACACAACAATGGAACGTTTCACCATGCGGGCTGATATGCTGTTTGCATTAACGAATGGGACTGTCGATGCATTCTTCTTTCAATCGTCTGTTGGTTTAAACGTTATTATGCCATGCCATAGTCGACCATCACGCATAATTCACAAGATAGAACGTGTTAACTATTCTTGTACTTGAATGTATTTAGTATTTTGCACTAGTAACCGAACGGATATGAGAACTCTGAGAAAATATTTGCAGAATTTATTTTTAGCCATTTTATGGTGCATATATTAATATGTGCCGTCATTTGTACAACGCGGTTCGATTTATTATCTTTGCTTATTAGGAAAGATTTACGGGGCTTTGAATTGGCCGCCTTTTTTAGCGCGTGAAGATAAACACACACTCACTGGTTTCTTTGCCGCAAGTACGGTAGTATTTAATGTAGATTTGGCTTTGCACTCATAATCAACGTTCACCGTATTAGTGTGCTCCCCATTTTTCTGGAATAATTAGTGAGATAGATTAACAGTTATATTAATTAGTATAAGTCTTAAAGGCAACGTAAATCAGATTTTAAAATAATAAAGTTAAGTTAAAAACCCAAATTTATATTCTAAGTAAAATATAAGTAGCTAATATGTTAAATTGATACTTTTATTCGCCAGATAAATGAAGAGTTATGCATGTTTACCAGCTGTATGTTTAGTTTGGAGTATAAAATAGTACTTAATTTGTTACCCAAATAAAAAAAGTCATACTAAAATGCCCTCGTTTGAGTATCTACAAGATTACACGTGTGGAGTACATAAAAATTACAGAATTTTAATTAATACGACTCCATACGAATAAGCGATGATTGCTTTCTTGGTAGAATTACATCAATTTTTCAAGTGTGCTGTAAGTGTGTGTGGTGTGTATGATTCATATGTATTCAGAAAGCACCATTACTTCACATATAGAAACTTATCGTTTTTTACTGCTCTTTGTATCGATGTGTTTCCAATCGCAGACTAATTTCCCGTGACTTGACATAGATTTAGCTTTCTGTATATTGTTTGTGGTACGACCCCTTTCTGTGTGACGCATCTATAAATCATTTTCGTCACAAGTATCAATTTTCAATAATAGTATCGAGAGGACATGGAAACCGATAAGCGTAGTCTTCCAGAATATCTGGAAAAGTTATTGTTAGAACTGGAAAACTTTGAATGGTTTTCAGACTCGGAAATTACAAACGTAAAACTAATTCGAAATCATACCAACAGAATTATATATCATGCAATCAAAAAGTCACAGTACGGAGATGCCGAAATTATGTTAGTATCAATAGGGGCAGAAAGCAACTGTACGCAGGAATCTGTGCAAGAATTTGCTAAAACATATTCGCTTCAACAACAAGAATATAATAATAATAATTTGTTTACTGCAAGCCAATTCAAAAGATATCCGATATGGCTTAAGCGACGCAATCAATTATTAAAGGGATTTACTAAATTTGAAGATAGTTACTTCATGGTAGCTGATAGGCCGTTTCATCATTGTTATTCTTTGTATGGATTTTGCTCCGTCTGTGGCAAACTTAGGTGCAGTCCTGTATGGTGTATCTGTGGTCATAAAGAGTTGGCAGATGGCTGGACTAGCAATAATAAGGAACTTGATAAGATGATCAGAGATTCACAGAAAATGACTAAGACTGCAAGTGAGGCTTACATCGAATGGATACTCTTTGACTGGGTTAAGATTTTTTCTGATTTACTTACTGGTTTAGATTATGGTTTACCCACATTGTATGATGTGGATTTGGTTCCACTTGAGATATCAGATACAGCAAGCTATCAAAAGGTAAGTTGTTTGACTGATTTTTGGCAAACACATTTGAAAGATTTGGTGTCAATTTGCTCGTTTTACAATTTTACTAGGTGCTTGATGATTATCCAGATATATTTGATCCAAATGTTTGGATTACCATTGGAATCACATATCATGCAGAATGGCAAAAATATGCAATAATTAAAGTTGGTTTTAAAAAAGCCACAAATGGATTATGTCTGGCATGTACAGAACATCTGCATTCTAGCATAAATGTTTTCTGTTTTGAGTGCAAAATACCAAGGCCTTGTGATTGGACTACTGGGAACAAATCTTTAGATGTGTTTATAATGAAATCATGGGACAGTGTTGATACTCCAATTGACAGTTATATACAATGGATAGAATTTGCTCAATTAACCAATATCCAAGAGGCATTGTTACTAGAACATGAATGCACACATGTGGCAGAGTGGTTAGAGCCAACAATAGATGGAGTTTGCACACAGAAGATTATGATAAAGATGATAACTGAAGGGCAGAATGCTGAATTGTTTGATTTTAATCAGGTAAAGTATGTTACAATTTAAAACATAATAATAACAATAATTATGCTAATTATAATATTAATTCTATTGTTTTAGTTAACTAAATCATACCCAAAGATTTTAATGCCTTACAATATAAGTATTGTTGGTATCACACAGAAACCAATTACAAGAGAATATTATCTAGTGTTCTATTATGACCTACAGTCATTTTTCAGCAGATTTTTGCAAACTATGAGTTTCAGCAATGATTACACATTAGGTCATTTAGATTTCAAAGATATTCATGAAACTACAAATATTGGATCTGGTGGATATGGAACAGTATCTAAAGCTATATGGAAAGCTCCTTTTAAGGATACTGAGGTTGCATTGAAACGTCTTACCAGTGAAAATTCAAACCAGAGGTTAGAATTACTAATTTCTGAAGTATGTGTGACATTCTTTGTTTCTCATTCTATTCTTAATTGTATTGCATGAATTTAAACTAATAATTTAAAATTTTAATAGATTAGAAACCACACCCGATGCTCAAGAAGACAATCATTAAACGAATTTTTAATAATTCATGGAATTACTCAGTGCCCAAAGACAGGGGAGTATTTGATTGTAATGGATTATGCTTCAGGTGGTAATCTATTTACCTACTTGGATCAATTCACTGACCTGTTGACATGGAAGATGAAAATAGAGCAATTGAATCATATTGCAAATAATTTGCAAAGCATTCATTCTTCTGGGTTGATACATTGTGATCTTCATGGTGGGAACATAGTCTTCCAGCCATATGAAACTGCTGATGTTGTGGATGATGTTGAAGAATATGATGGAGAAGAAGAAGAAGACAATGATGGAGAACAAGACAGTGAAGATAATGGAGAAGACAGTCTCAATAAGCTTTATAGTATTGCACACGTATGTGATCTTGGACTCTCTCAGCCAATGAATTTATCTTATGAAAGTTTAACTATCCAAGGCGTTCTACCTTATATTGCACCAGAGGTTTTTCATACACACAAATTTACTCAGAAATCAGATATTTATGCTTTTGGCATTATTATGTATCAGATGGCCAGTGGTGAGCCACCATTTAGACGTTTGCTAGCTGACAAGTGTTTACCATTGTATATTTGTAAAGGACTACGACCAGAACTACCTAGCTCCGCACCATATGCATATAAACAGCTTGCAAAAATGTGCTGTGATGCTGATCCAAATAAGCGACCAACTGCTATAGATATTCAAAATTACATTAATCAGAGCATTATGCCGGCACAGAATAATGAAACTGGTGACAATGTGTGGTATGATATCTACTATAGGGGTAAGACAGAACCTTTATTGCAAACAGAGAAAGAGATTAAATACTCAAGTAGAGCATTACCTGCTGAAAGCTTGCCTAAACCAATGAATTTTGATGTTGAGTTGGGTTCAGGTAAAAACATTATGTTGATAGTAATAGTATTTGGTATGTAATCTAGCTTATAAATTGAACTTATTACTTTACCATTTGTTTTTAATTCAGAATCTCAAGAGGTTGACTTCTTTGCATCTATCTCTAATACTGATGGTTTGTTATACAATATTTTATATTTGTTAATTGGGACGAATTAGCAAGAATATTAACTGATGTCCATTTTTCCAGAATCACAAGAAGTCGATTTTTATAATTCAGAGAAATCAGTTTTAAAATGCTTTGCAGCCAAAATTATACATTGATCATATTGAACAACAAAAGCCAAACAAATAGCAATGTATAC